GGTGTCGGTGGTGGAGCGCAACGCGCGCGTCATCCAGTGGCTGTACGGCTGCCTGCGCGCCAGGGACCCACCGCGCGAGTCCGAGGTCTGAGCGCGGCCGCACGCGCGCGAGCGGGCCCCCGAGGGCCGGGGCTGGACCCGGGCGCCGCGGGGACGCCCCGCCATCATGCGCGGGAGACCTTTGGCAAAGCCCTTCCTTTGGGCTCCCGGGTTTCCCACCAGAACATTGGACAAAATGATCCCGGAGCCCCTTCCCTGGGCTGTGGCTTCTGTGGAGGCCGGGCCTGGGGATTAAGGACTACGGTGGGAGATCAAAAAAGCCTGCTGAATAAAAGGAAAACGGCATTTTTAATGGACCGTGTGGTCGGATTAGGTCACAGATGGTAAGGAAAGGGGGTGGGGTGAGTTGGCGTGCTTAAAAGGGTGCGCTTTCGTGTGGGTTTGGGGCTGCGCCCCTGGGCAGCCACTTAATCTCCCAGAGCTTCAGCTGGACCTCTCTTTAAAAAATCGGGGGGAGGGGGAGAGGCGGTTATAAAGGACCCCACAAACCGCCGACTTAGTGTCCATAGTAGAGTAGCATTAAATCAAACAAACTCACTGCCTCTGAGTCGATAGGGACTCAGAGCGTCCCTGTAGGGCAGGGTGGCACTGCCGTTGTAGGTTTCCGGGACTGTAACCCATCGCCAGGGCAGAAAGCGTAGCCCTTTCCCCAAGGCAAGACTGGTGGTTTCCAAGGGCTGACCTTGCAGGCACAGCGTGTAACCACACCACCACTGGTAATCTTAGTACAGTACTAGTTCGGCGGTTCCGATTTATAGCGTTCCGGTACTTCGGAACTATTGAATAGTTATGAGTCTGATTTCGGGAATTTGCAGTGCGCTTTGCAACTATTTCATCATGCTGCTTCAAAGTCATCGCCCTTGCCCCATGCTATTACAAGGACCCCAGGTGGGAGAAGCGTGGGGCTGTTCATCCTAGAGCCAGTGGCTCAAACCCGTGGGAGAGAGAATTCTGCGCCAGTAGAGATTTAGTCTCTGAAACCCTATGTCGCCACGAATCACAATCAACTCAAGGGCAATGCTCTCATGACTATCTCCTCCACCGACCCAGGTCGGTCCCCACTAGGGCTGGTGACAGGGACGGAGGTGGGGTGGGGGTCTAAAAGCCCCTACTCCCCGAGCTTTGCGTCCCCCTTTGGTCACGAGGTGTGAAGCACTGGGATGTGGCGGCCCTGGAGTGGTGGCAGGAAAGAAGGGGTTCATGAACCTCCATCTGTTGATGGCGACCTCGTTCCCTCACTACCTCTGGTTCCCACAGATCCACACCCTCTCCTTCCAGGCCTGTGTTCACGGGCCTTCTCCTTTTGCCCCAGTTTACCTTTCCTCTCCTCTCAATCTAACCCTTTAAAGGCGAGCTATGCTCTCTTTCAGGAAGTCTGCCCGAGTTCCCCAGCCCCCCTCATCTCCTCTGAGCTTCCGAGGACTGCACTATTTTGGGGTCTCAACTTGAGTTCTTGTCGCTTTGTGTGGGACTCGCGGGTAGTCTGAATTGTTCATCTCCTTACGGCAACCCCAGCCTTGCCCCTAGTAGGGCCGCACAGGCCACGTTTGTCGATGTCAAAGAGGCTGAACAGGGTGATGGGGCCCACTCCCTGAAGCTCCCCAGCTCCCTGGAAAGTTTTGCCTTATGTCTGATACCTAAGCTACCCCGGCAGGATAATTCGGAATTTCATTTTCTCCCTGTCCCAGTGGCTAAGTGCTGGGCTGCTAAGCGAGAGGTCCCGATACAAACCCACCCCAGGGGAATGATCCGCTTCTAAGGAAAGATTTGCTTGGACACTCTATGGAGGAGTTCCACTAAGTCCTCTGGGGTTGCTAAGAGGCCAAGGCTCCTGGATAGTAATGGGTTTTAGGCTGTTGTGGGGACGAGATCCTTTAGGGCCCAGAAGCCCCCCCACCCCAAAGCAGACCTCTCCCCTGCGTCTGGACAAAAGCAGGCAGCCACACCAGGGGTCCGGCCACAGGCTTTTATGGGAGCTGGGGAGGAGCAGGCGCCCAGTTCCGCCGGCCGGCTAGTCGCCCTTGGGCGCAGTCTTCACTCTCATTTCGGCCAGTTTGTGGGTGAGGAAGCCCCACTTGAAGCCGGCCGCAGGGTCGGCGTCCGGCGGCTCGGGGCGCTCGTCGGCCTCCTCGCTGGCCTCGGGGTCCGGCTCCGCGGGGGGCTCGGCGCTACGCAGCATGGACGCCGCCGCCGCCTGCTGCTGCTGCCACCTGCTGGCGAACGCGTCCCAGAAGCCCGGTCCGCGGGGCTCCGCCTCCGCTGCCGCCTGCGACGGGGGTCGCGCCGCCAGCGGGCTGTGCGAGAGGGGAGGGTCAGGGGACAAACGGAGAGCGCGGAGAGAAACCCGAGGAGCAGGGGGCCGGGGGAGGAAGGGCCAGCGCAGGGGCGGAAGGGCCTGGTCAGGTGACTGGAGCGGCCCGGGACCGAGGAAGCGGGGCCTGCGCCCTGAGGGGCGGACTCAGAGCCCTGGGAAAGGACGTGGGTCGGACAAGGTCAGGGGACTAAGCAAGAAGTCTGATGAGGAGAAGGAGCCTAAGTCAGGACCCCTCGGGAGAGAGCAAGGCCAGGTCTTGGGGACGGGACTAGGTCTAGGAGGCGAGGAGCGGGCACGGGGAAGAGCCCTGAGACGTGGGAAAAGGGCCGGGCGTGGAATCCACTGGAGGGGGCGGGGCCAGACGCTGGGGGCGGAGCTCAGGGAGAGCAGGGGTGGAGCCTGTGGGAGCAGGGCTGGGGAGGGGTTAGGTTCGGAGATCCTGGGAAAGCCGGAATGGAAAAGGGAGAGAGGATGCTTAGGAGAAAATTGGGTGGAGCGACCCAAAGAGAAGTAGCCAGACCTAGAGCAGCTCAGGGAAGAGAGGGATTCGAACAGCTAGCAGGTGGATGTGGGTGGAAGGCCAATCTAGGAGGAGCGATGAGGCTCGAGGGGGAGATCCTTCAGGTTTGAGGACCAGTGAGTCCTCGAAGACTTGGGAGGGAGGAAGAGAGAAACCCTGGGGCAGGCGAAGTGGAGAGTACTGCTCCATCCTTCCTCCGCCCCAGGCACCAAAGACCTCCTAAGACAATGGGCGGTACTGTAGAATCCTCAGTGAAGCTGGGCCCTCGTTTCACACCTGCTGGACTGTATTCTCTAAAGGAAGGGCCTGGAAAATGTATATGTCACAGCTCCTGGGAAGGTCAGGGAACCACTGATCTGGACCACCCCCTGTTCCAAACATCCAAACCTCTCCTCTCTTGCTAGATTCTAGGGAGATGACCACCATTCTGACCCCCACAAAGTGGATAAGGAGAGGGGGAGCCCATGAATCCTTCTAGGACCCCAACCCCAACAACGGGGAAGTTCCTCTTGAGATCTAACCTAATCCCTCACTTGGTTGCTTTGGCTTTTTTCCTGCTGAGAGGAAGGGAAACAGCCAGAGGCTGCCCCTCCTCAGCCCCTGTCCCGTGGAAGGATGAACCAATGGAAAGGGCACCAGGGAAGGGGCGCCCCCAAGCCCCTCCCAGAATGCCCTGTCACCCACACATACTGGTCTGCAGGAGGCTCTGCTGGCAGCAGCTTGTCCTCGTCTTCTTTGTTAAAAAGAGATGACATGGTCAGCCAACCTTTTACCCCGACTCCCTGAACCTGGAAGGAGCTCAGCGTCAGAGCCCGGCCCCATCACCCCCGGGACCTGGAATCCAGGACCCCACAGCAGCGGAGTTAGGCTGGGATGAAGGAAAGGAAAACTCACCCTCCGGGCCAGCTGTGACATGGGGTTGAAGGCCTCTTCAGCTGCTTCCGCTGTCTCAGACTCCACCAACACCGGGTTCTCCCTCTAGGACACAAGATCCCCCACCCGGCATGAGAAGCCCTAGAGGGTTGTCCCCCACAAGCCTGGCCCCCCAAAACTTCACAGAACTAAATACACACCTGTACCCCTCACACTCTCCTCAGGGGAACAGGAATGCACATAGGTCTGCCTATACACAAAGCTACCACCGCCATTTCTGTACAGCAAAGCACTGGGTACACACACCTGCGCCCCACAGCCGTGGCCGGATGCACCCAAAGACGTGGACAAAAGCGTGCACTCTTATGTCAGCACACACCTGTACGTGAGCAGGTTGCTCTTCACACTTCCACACAGATGTATGTGGTGTGAGTCACCTGTAATGAGCATGCACACAGCTATATCATGCCTGCTCGTACACTTACCAGACTGCAGACAGAGGCCCGCTCACAGAACTCACAACCTCTCCACGCTCCCAGATGTCCACACACACTTACACAGACACATCACACAAACCTAACCCTGGAAATGCTGGCACAGAGGCATGCAGGCATACACTTCGACCTAAAATGTACACACCTGAAACGACCTATATCTCGTTCACACCTGCACATACCCCTTCACTGGGGATTTCACACAGGCCAGAGACCAACCCTGCCACCATCCACAGTGACCCACAGGCTCAGCCTGCACCACCAAACCGTTTAGACATATGCACACCCACGCATACCCACAGGACTAGTTCCTGTCCCTGCCACATTTCTTTGTATGACTGCCTTCTATCACAGACTCTAGGTGGTTCTCAGTTTCTGAGCCTTGTCAGAACAAAGCACGGTCCACGATGGCTCTGGTCCCAGGCTGCCATGGTGACCCTCAGAGTACAAGTGCCACTCACACTCTCAAAAATCCATAGTGACCCTATAGGATAGGGAAGAACTGCCCCTGTGTTTCTGAGACTGTAACTCCACAGGACTAGAAGGCCGGTCTTCCAAGGAGCAACTGGTCGTTTTAAACTGCTGCCCTTGAGGATCGCAGCCCAACACATAACCACTAGGCCACCAGGGCTCCTAGCACACATTGCTTGCCCGGGCCACTCCGGCACTTATCACTGCCACTCGCCCTGCCTTTCCAGTAAAGAGGTCACTATCGGTGCAAGCCGGTGTCCCACTTTTGCTCACCTCTGTCCATTAGAAAGTTGGGTCAAGCTGATGTGTACCCCATGAGGCTACTGCTCATGGAGGCTGGTAGAATCTCTCCCAGGTGACAACCCTTGAGATCTATGGGCACTACTCCTCCCCTGACCCCCTGGTCTTCTTTTCCTCAGTGTTCTTGGCCATCCTGGCTTTGCCATCCCCTGCGTATGCCAAGGGCGCCTGCTCAGTTGTGTCTCTCTCTTGCTCAGAGCCTGCCTGTCCCCTGCCCCTCTTTGCTCTTCTCAGTCCTGCTGCCCCTTTGCCCAGGCCCCACCAAGTAGGCATGGATGCTACCTACCTCCTCAGCCAGGTTCTCCTCAGATTCTCCACCTAGGGTCTGAAGCACTTTGGATTTGTAGGTTTTCCAGAAGGCCTGGTTCATGGCTGCAGGGGAGCTGGACCCAGCACCCAGGCACTGGAAAGCGGTGGCTCAGTGGGCACCTGGTGGGCTCTGGCTCCAGGAATGTGGTGAGTCCAAGAGATTGTCCCAGGGATCCAGTGACTTCATTAAAGATGCACCAGCTTCCCCTGCTGGCATGGGGCCCAGCTGGTGAACCCGATCCTAAGGAGTCTGGGATGGAGGTGGGTGAGGGTTGCTGCCACCTCAGCCTTTTCCTTGACCCATATTGGCCAAGGATCATGAAGACACCTCTCTCCACAGAGGCCTCCTTCCTGGCAGGGAGGACGCCTTGAGCCTGAGCTCTTGGAAAGGCTCCAGATAAACCTGCTTTTCCATTCATCAGGTATTTGGGCCCTGGAGCCACCTGTGCCTTCAGGGAGAGGAGAGAGGGAAGGCCCCTAGGCCCCCAACAGGCCCCCTCACCCTCGGCTTACATTTCCCTACTTTGTCTGAGCTGGAAACTGATTCCCTTTCCCGAGGGATGCACGTGCCTGTCTCCCTGTTTCCTGGCAACAGGTTCTACAGAGCTAGAACCCCTGAATTATTGCTGAAGTCCTCCTGCCTGTCCCTGAGAGCTGCCTCTGGCCAGCCTGGGTGGCACCAGGCAACAGCGAACTGGCAAAGTCTCCTTGGCCCTCACACCACCCGGCACAAAACCCCTAGGCTCTATCTGCCTTTGCAGCCGGCCCGCTGGTGGGAGTTCGGGGCTCAGAGAAAGGAGGCAGAAGCCAGGCAGGGTTCTTCAAACAGCTCCTCCTCTTGATCCTCTGTCCTGGATGCCTTGAGGCCCGAGCCCCACGAGGCTAGTTGAGTCATGAGAGGGCTTTGTCAGGGCCTGGAGGGGTCTCAGGAGGCAGTGTTGGGGCCGGAATCCAAACATTCACGCCCATCCAAATTCAGTAATTTATTGATATCACAGACATTTATCAATGCATCCCCACCACGGAGCCTAGGCTTGGGAACCAGTAAGCGGTGACAGGGTCGGTAGATGGAACTGAGATAGGTTGGGCCAGGCAAGGGGTGGGCAGAGCAGCCCTCCCACGCGCACTGCCCAGCTCTTCCTGGAGGTCTGCGGCAGACTGCCCCTTCGACACTGACGTCCACCGCCGCCCGAGGGCGCTCCAGCGGCTGGCTGGGCCAGTGACGTCATCGGAGGCGGGCCGGCCGGCCGTCTCCGCCCCCGGCGTCGCGTGACGTCATCGAGCAGTCCGGAAGAGCCCGCACGTGTGCTGCCCACAGTGCTCCGGGCTCTAGCGGCCATGGGTCGCTCCCGCCGGACCGGCGCCCACCGCGCGCACTCCCTGGCCCGCCAAATGAAGGCCAAGCGGCGCCGGCCGGACCTGGATGAGATTCACCGTGAGCTGCGGCCCCAGGGTCCCGCTCGGCCCCTGCCCGGCCCGGACGCCGAGCCCGACCCGGACCTGCCAGGAGGCGGCCTGCATCGCTGCCTGGCCTGCGCGTGAGTCCGAGCCGGGCCGGGCCTGGGGAAGTGGAGGGGGCGCGTGAGGATCCGGGAATGTGAGGTCGGGGGGCGGGGGTCGCCTTTTGCAACCCGTGTGTCGTCCTACCTCCCATTCCCCCAGGCCCGGAGCCTGGCGTCAGGGAACGAACTGGGGCTGAGAGGTGGGTGGACGCACAGGGCACTATCTCCCCTCTGCCTTTCCCGTCCCCACAGGAGATACTTCGTGGATTCCGCCAACCTCAGGACCCATTTTCGATCCAAAGACCACAAGAAAAGGTACGGAGAAGTCGGAGGCGACTGATGGGTGCCGGGCAGGCGGACAGGCAGGCAGGCAGGCGGTTCCAACTCCTCTCCTTCTTTCTCCCAGGCTGAAGCAGCTGTGCGTGGAGCCCTACAGTCAGGAAGAGGCAGAGAGGGCAGCGGGCATGGGCTCCTATGTGCCCCCCAAGCGGTTGCCAGTGCCCACAGAGGTGTCCACTGATGTCCCAGAAATGGACACCTCCACCTGACATGATCTGAGGCGTCAGGGCAGCAGCCCGTGGACAGTGTTGAAAAGACTGGGCTGGGAGAGACTGACCCAACGTGACCCAGGGTTTGGGGAACGGATGACCTCTTTGGGTGCCATGTCCAATAAAGGAGCTAGACAAAGAAGGGATTGCCTCTGACTCCCCAGATGCCAGGCCAGAGCCCCCACCTTCCTCCAAATCCCCTGACCTGTAAGGGTTTCCCTCTTTAAGCAGCAGGCCCCGCTGTCTGCTCCCCACTTGGTCCAGCTTTAGAATTGAACGCCTACCTTCTCTTTGCACTCTGACATCTGAGCTGGAGCCCCCAGACCACACAGGTTAATTGGGGTGTTGTGGGGGTGGCTAGTCAGACTTTTTTGTCCTGTTTCCAGTGAGGGTAGGGCACACACACACACACACACACGAGGAAACTCCTGAGATGGTCACCTCCCCCTGGGCTGGGCTGCAGTGAGAGACTTGACTGTTTCATCATGGAGCCTGTGGTGGTGTTCGCTGCCCCACCATCTTCCAGACAGCATAGCAGGAGCCGCCCAGCCCGAGAACAGCCAGCAGCGTGGCTGCAACCCCTGCCAGCCGGCTCCGCGGCTCTGCCTTCAGTTCCCCGGTCACCTGCATCTGCGGATGCACAAAGGGCACACTTCGGCCGTTGGTTGGGAATTCTGGGAAGGTGGAGGGAAGGGGATTGCTGAGAAGGTGCAGCTGGGGAAAGAGACATGGGCGCCATAGCTGCCTCGGGGTGATTCCACCCCAATCCCTCTCGCTTCACTGCCCATCTGGGCCCCGACTGCTCAGGCGGCAGGGAACATGCCAGCCTGGCTCTGGGGGGTTGTCAGCTCAGGCCTGGTCTGGGGAGAGAGGAAGGGGCCGGTGGTGCTGGAAGCCAGCGGCTGAGGTACTTACCTGTAGCACTCGGAAGTAGCCTGGGGTCAGGCGTCGAAATCCCATGGTGGGGGATGCTGGTCTCCCCGGCGGCCTGTGGGGTGAGGGTGGGCTTGAGAAATACGGAAGTACAGAGTGCCAAGGGCTAGAAATCAGGGTCTTGAGATCTTTGACATCCCCCCGCATGGGACCCAGGCCCTCAGAAGGTGCTTACCAGTCCCTGCCCGCCCAGGTCTGGCAGCGAGTGGGGCTGCTAGACCTTTAACTCCAGCCCCTTCTCCCCACCCTCCTGCCCGCCCTGCCAGCCTCAGGAGCAGCTGTCAGGGGAGATCAGCATCAGGCCTGAGCAGCAGCGCCTCCCCCAACCACAGGGAGGCGAGGCCATGGCAGTGCTTAGGAGGCCCGGCTGTGGACCAGGTACTGGGGAGGACCTCCCCGAGCCCTTGCCTAGGCCTTCTACCTCAAATGATTGGATGCCGCTGGACAACTGCTATATGAGCCCCTCCAAGCAACCCTCGCTTTTCCTGCAGGGTAGCCCCTGTTAGATCTACCAGCCCTCTCCCGGAGATGGATTCCCACGGGGACACCCCGTCCTTTCCCACCCTCAGCTGAGGACACCACCGCCTCATGGAGTTGGGGAGACTATTGAGATGTAATCAATTCATATGGCCCTTCTAGTTATAATTCATTATGTGACATAAATTCTAGCCCATGCCCCCCATGGTGCTACTCACATTTTGGAGGAACTTCCCTGCTCTGCTAATGGGCAGAATGAAAGGCGGACTAAGTTTCTACCTTGGTCGAGGGGGTGAACCGTTACTACCCTTTGTTCCTTGGGGGTATGGTCTGCTGAAAGGCAAAAACCACACCTCCATCAAAGCCACTGCTCTGCATCAGAGCCACCTCAGAATCGGGGACACGAAGAAACCCCAGACCATCAAGATCTCTGAAGTGGCAGAGGCCAAGACCAGAGACAGCAGAGGCTGCCCCATGGGGACCATGGGACAGAGCAAGGGATGCAGGCCAAGACCAGAGGTGAGGCAAGGCAGCTGTAAGACTGAGGTAGAGGAGCAGACCAGCTTCCTGACCCGTGGAGACAAAAGCCAAAGGACCACGGCTGAAAGACTGAGGGCCAGAAAAAGACTGTTGGCTGAGAAAAGTCACCGCTGTGGACCACTGACTGTCTTTGGACTTAGGGTAACCTGTGATGTTCCTTAATAAACTGTGAGTTTTGTCTGAGTTCAGTGTGACCATTGCAATGAGTTGTGGAGCCCAGTAGCAAAGTACTGTGCGGTGAGAGAAGTTGGTGTCAGAATAACTAAAGAAAGTTGGAGCGTGGCATGGGGAGTTCCTAAAAGGTTTTCCCTGGGTTGTTTCTCATTGTGGACCCAGCCTAGGACCTGCTTGCTAGTGCATTGTGAGGTCAGCTGCTTAGAGCAGTGGTCCTCAACCTAGTGGTCGAATGACCCTTTCACAGGGGTCCCCTGCTTCATCACAGTAGCAAAATTGATGAAGTAGCAACGAAAATTTTTGGTTAGGGGGTAACCACAACGTGAGGAACTGTATTAAAGGGCCGTGGCATTAGGAAGGTTGAGAACCACTGCCTTAGAACCACTGGAGATCACAGGGCAGCCACTGCCCAAGGACAGAGTTCAAAGGGCTAGAAGGGTGAGGAAGGGAGGTGGCTTGGAAACAGGAAGTGGCAGTGGGACGAGGAGATTGCAGTCAATGACAGGAAACAAGATGTGCACGGATTGCTGAACGCAACAACTGATTTGCTCTGTAAACCTTCACCCAATTCAGAATGTATCTTTTAATTTTGTGTATTTAAATAAGTTTTATAATAATTATTCTCCTTGTAATTGTAAGCATTTTATAGTATGCTTTTAAAAGCATTATTCAGGAAAATTGACCAAACTGTCCAGAGGCAGGACTGAAAATCCCTCTTCTAAAGGTTCCCTCCTCGGGGACTGCACAGCAGCCTGATGCCCATTTTACAGGCCCTGAGGTTAAACTGAGTCCCATCACAGAGCTAACAGCTGGTGAGCCAGGACTTGCACCAGGGGTCTTGCCCCCTAGACTGCTCACCTGCTCCCTTGGCCCCTTTTTGAATTGCATGAGGGACGGGCCCATCCTGTAATTTGAAGAGTTGGGGGTTAAGATCCTAAGGGCCCTAATCACAGGGCTGGGCCACAACTTCCTAGGCGGGCCGCCAAGCTGGAGGGTGGGGCAGGGGGGCGGTTTCTCTGTGCGGATGGGCAGGACGTGGACCAGTGGCTTGGCAGCGTCTCACCTGGCCGGCCACGTGGGCACAGGTATGCGGCGGCTCCGCCCCGGCCCCGCCCAGGTCTGGTCTCCGCAGCGGAAATTCCTGCGAGGGCCGGACTGAACGGGCACCGATCTGGAGTCCCGAAGGACTCTACCATGGAACCCGTAGCCGCCTGGACCCCGGAGAAGGTGGCAGCTTGGCTAAGAGGTGGGTGGGGTCGGGACAGAGCTGGGTTTGTGGGGGGAGGCCTGGCCAGCCCGGGGAGAGGACAGGAAGAGAAGGAAAAAGGACCTGTGGCCTGTGTCCGTTGACTCAGTCAGCAAATATTTAAAGTGCGTCGGCCAGGTACCAAATACAATGGTGGCCACAGGATCGGACGAGACCCTGGAAGGCCCGGGGACCCTGAAGAGGGTATTTCGTCTCCCCAGCCTCCCAAGATGCCCCCGCGGTGGGGATGGGAAGGCGGCGCTTGTGTAATGAAAACAGAGGGCGGCCAGGCGAGGCCCACGCCCACACTATCGCCTTCATCTTCCCCGAGCCCCAGGGCCCAGGGGGTTGTTACTAAACCCACTTTTCCGAACCAGGAAGGAAGTGATTTGCTCAGACGCTTCAGAGTAGAATGGGCCCATCTCCCCACACTGAGGCTCTTCAAGGTAGTGAGAGAGTGGAAAGCAGTTGACTGCCCCACCTAGTGCCCCTTCAGGGTGGGGAGCAGATGCTGCCCCCAGGCTCACAGGGATCCCAAGTGAATGGCAAAAGTTCTAAACTGCAGAAACACTCCTCAAAGTGAGGCCCTTCTGACTGCAGCCCAGGGGAGGGCCTAGGAGGCCCTCCCAGGGGATGGAGCTGGAGTGCTGGGGGCCCTCAGAGTGACCAGTCCCAGGAAGGGTAGGGATTTGGGCAGGAGTTAGACTCCCAGACTGGGTCTGAGGTCCAGCACTGCCATTCACCATAGGTCTCCGGTTCCCGATCCAGAAAATGGGAACGGCAATGCTGCTCTCATAGAAGGGACAGAAATGAGACAAAGGCAAAAGCACATACAGCTCAATATGGGGCTCTGAGGAAGAGCACTCGGGCATTGTGGGCTATGCAGTAAGCTTTTAGCCACAAGGTGAGAGGTTCAAACCCACCAGCAGCTCTGTGGGAGAAAAATGAGGCTGTCTATTCCTGTAAAGATTGACTGTCTTGGAAACCACATAAGGGCACTTCTGCCCTCTTCTATTGTCAGTTGGAATTGGCTTGATGGCTCTGAGTTTGGTTCTGGTTCCAGCTGAGAGGAAGGTAGCTCGATACCCTCACTGGTGGTGAGAAAGGACTTGCTGGACCGGCTACAATCAGGGAGCGGCAGGTTAATGGACTCCCAGCCCAGGGCTCGTCATGGCGCACCAAATGAGGGGGAACTATGGGCCCCATACGCATCCCTGAGTGAAGAAGGCTGGCTCAAGATGGGGTGAATTCCCTCAAGAGTGAGCAAGGTCCTGAACCTCCCTATATGTCAGTTTTCCCGCCTGTATAATGGAGATTTTACATCTTAGAGATGTAAAATTCCTACATCTTAGAGATAGGGTGAAGACAAAATGTATTAATATGCAGAAAGCCCTTAAATTTTTCCTTGGCACATAGTAAGCGCTCAATAAATACTACTCTTATTTAAAAAAAACATTTTTTTAATGTCTCCCTTGTACGGACATACTGCATTGGGCAAATCTGCTGCACGAGACCTATTTAAAGTGTTCCAGAATGAGACGTCACTATGGGGACTTAGGGGGGCCTGAACCAAGCCATGGTATTTTCACTTGGTTCGTATGCATGTGAAATTTGGACAGTGAATAAGAAATACCACAGAGGAATTGATGCATTTGATTTGGGGGGCTAGTGAAGAACATTGGGAGTACTATTGAAAGAACAAACAGATCTGTCTTGGCTAGAATGCTCCGTAGAAGCAAGGATGGCCAGACTTCCTCTCATGTACTTTGGAGAGACCAGTCCCTGGCAAGAAAAAAGAGGAAGACCTTTGATACCCTGGATTGGTACAGTGGCTACAGCAATGGGCTCACACAGAGTAATGAACGTGAGAATGACGAGGACTGGGCAGTGTCTTGCTCTGTTATACATAGGGTCACTAGGAATTGAATGGCACCTAATGGCAATCAACCTAGTACCAGGGAGTCCTGGTGGTGCAGTTGCTAAGCACTCAACTGATCACTGAAGTCAGCAATTCAAATCCATTAGCAGCTCTGGGGAGAAAGATGTGGCACTGTGCTTCCGGGAAGAGTTACAGCCTGGGAAACCCTACAGGGCAGTTGTGCATTGTCCTGTAGGGTCACAGGGAGTCCGACTCAATCTGAAGGCAATGGATTTGGTTTGGTTTACCTTTAACAAATAGGCTCAGGCTGGGCGCTGGGGGTCAGGGGTGAATGGTTATTCACAGCCTCGTCCTTGAAGAAAAGCAAAGCAAAGCAAACCAAACTCGCTGCCAGTGAGTCAACTTCCACCCATGCCCCTACAGGGCAGAGCAGAACTGGCCCTGTGGATTTCCAAGACTGTAAATCTGCATTTTTCTCCCATAGAGTGGTTGCTGGGTTCAAACTGCTGACCTTGCAGTTAGCAGCCTGCCCCCAAGACCCCTGGTCTTGAAGAGCTCCTGATGAACTAGCCAGTCGTAATACTGCGGCGTAGCAGGTGCAAGGGACTGTAGTAGCAAGAGGACCTAGACCTGGAGTCATGGAAGGCTTCCTGGAAGCGGGGAGCAAAGAAGAGAACAGAAGGGGTTAGAAGGGCAGCCCAGGCAAAAGGAAGAACCTTTGACAAAAAGAACTTTCCAGGAGCTACAGGAGTTATGCTGTGGAGCTGAAGTCTGTCTGAGGGGCTGCCCTAGGAGACAGCTGAAAAGGCAGGGAGTGACTGGCTCTTAGAGGGCTTTGTAGGCCAATGCAAAGAGGCTGGTGATAATGACAGGGCCGTTGACTGTCTACTATGAACCAGGGAATGGGCCAAGGGCATGACTTGTAGCGTGTAATTTATCCTCATATGATTAGATGGTAGATGCTTTTATCAGCCCCATTTGTAGATGAGGAAACTGAGGCACTGGCTCAGCTGGACTCCATCGCCCATGCTCTTGTCCTTTCTATCAGCAGTCCCCTGACTTGAGCGAGCCGCAGTCACCCAGAGGGTTTCTTAAACATACACTGCTGGGCCCAGCTGCCTCCCCACCACCCTACCCCCACCCCAGAGACACTGATCTACCCAGACTGGGAGGACCAAGAGTTTGCTTTATTTTTAAAATCATTTTATTGGGGGCTCATTCAACTCTTTATCACCATCCATCCATCCATGTGTCAAGCACATCTGTACATTTGTTGCCATCATTATTCTCAAAACATTTGCTTTCTACTTGAACCCTTGGTATCAGTTCCTCATTTTCCCCCTCCTTCCCTGCCCCACCTCCATGATCCCTTGATAATTTATAAATTATTTTTAGAGTTTGCATTTCCAATAAGTTCCAAGGTCACCTTGGTGCTGCTAATTTGGGGGCTACCCTTTGAGAGTTAGTGCCCTGATTCCCTTCTCAGTTTAGTAGCTTCGTCTTTGAAGTGGGAAGAACCCCACCGGGGGCTCAGGGAGGGCGAAGGGCTGTGCAGGGTGCAGAACTGGCCTGAGAGGAGGTGCCACCCTCCATGCCGACCCTTGCTTCCTTCCAGGCCTCGATGACACCCTGCAGGACTATCCCTTTGAGGACTGGCAGCTACCGGGCAAGCACCTGCTCCAGCTCTGCCCCCGCAGCCTGGAGGCTCTGACCGTGTGGCCGCTGGGTCACCAGGAGCTCATCCTGGATGGCGTGGAGCAGCTCCGGGCCCTGGTGAGGGAATGGCGGATACATTGGCTGCAGCGTCCACCATGATGGGGGGGTGGGGTGCTGATGGGCCATAGCCACTGCCAAGGAGGTGACCTTCCCCTCACCGGCACAGACTTCAGGACTGCAGACAGAGAACCTGCAGAGCCTGACCGAGCGGCTGCTGGCGGGGACCCACACCTTCCAGAGCCTAGTCCAAGGCCACCTGGGGACCTGCGACGAGACCCCTGCGGATGTCTTCAGTGCCGCAGTGGAGCTGGTGCATGAGGCTCGCACCCTCCTCTTCTGGCTCAACAGGTACCTCAGGCTCCTCGCGGGGCCCTGCTCGCCCTGGTCTCCTCTGCAGTGCGGAAGGGCCTGGGAGAAGAAGACAGAGCTTGGCTCTCGTGCAGAGGTGGCAGAGCAGGGCAGAGCGGGGTTCCTCTCAGTGCCGCACCGTCTATGCAGAGGTGCTTGGGTGCCTGGGTGCCCTCTAGCTAGCTTGTGGTCACAACAGTCATATATATCCACAGCCATTGCCAGAGTGTTCCCCCCAGCCCTCTTCCCTGGCTGCTTCTGCTCCTCCTAGGTCACAGGTCACATGTCACCTCCTCTGGGATCTTTCCCTGTCAGCCCCCTCAGAGCTTCCTGTCCTTCACAATACTCACTCCAGTCAGAGTGGAAGCATTACTGATGTCTGTCACCTCAGTGCCTCCAGCAAAGGTCTGTCAATGTGTTAGGCACGCGATGAGTACGTTCTGGGCTAAACCATCTCCTTCCATCTAAACCAGTGGTTCTCAACCTTCCTCACGCTGTCACCCTTGAATACAGTTCCTCATGTGGTGGGGACCCCCAACCATAAAATTATTTCCATTGCTACTTCATCCCTGTCATTTTGCTACTGTTATGAATCGGGCGACCCCTGTGAAAGGGTCTTTCGACCCCCAAAGGGGTGGTGACCCACAGCTTGAGAATCGTTGGTCTACACCACAGCCCCTCTGAGCAGGCATTACCCAACCTCGGGTGAATCACCAGCAGAGTGCCAAAGTGACTGTCTTGTGAAGCGCGGTCTCTAACCACTGCCCCGCCCCATCCTGCCAGGTACCTCTTCTCCCACTTAAACGACTTCTCAGCCTGCCAGGAGATCGGGGAACTGTGCGGGGAGCTGGCCCAGGCTCTGCAGGAGGTAGGAGATCCAAGAGCCAGCTTGGCCCAGGCCGTAGAGACCAAATCGGGCTTGAGCTTTTTATAACTCGTGAATCAGCATGGGATCTGGTGTGAAGGCTGGGCTAGGCAAGGGCAGGCAGAGAAGTGATCCAGCTACTGGGTACAGGGTGGTGGTGGCATGGGGTCTGCAGGTGGGAAAGGAAGCCTGGGTTATTTGACTCCCAGAAGCAGGTGGGGAGAGGGGCATGTCCAATGAGTTCTAGGGGCCTAGTCTCAGCGGGAGGAAGCAGAGAGGCAAAAGCTCAGAGGGCCAGTCATTCTGGAAGGGGCCAGGAGAAGGGGAGCCGGAGAGAAGACCGGGAACCCCACTTTCCCTGGCCTCAGTGCAACCCCAATTTTCTCTCAACGTTTCCAGGATTCCCCAGCGGCTGAGAAGGAGAGCAGAGTCCTGAGAATCGTGAGTCTGTGAGGGGGCAGGGGAGCGGGGACAGACAGCCAACCACGCTTGGGCTGGACACGCTGCTCCGCTCTCCCAGTGCGGCCACGTGACCGGGATCTGCCACAACATCCTGAGCTGCAGCCCCGAGGAGCTGCTGGAGCAGCAGGCCGTGCTGGAGCTAGTACAGCTGGATGAGCCTTTGGTGAGGCCTGGCTCCCGCCTCCGACCCCTCGTCACCTAGCCTGGGCCCTGAACTAGGATTCCAGGTTCTAGAGACTCTTTGGTGATTAGCGCCTGAAAAGCGGGGGCCTAGGGGACTTAGCTAGGCTCATCTCCATGTACCACTTTCCCAGTCCTGAGGGACAGGGACTTGGGGCACGTTAGGGGAGATGACGTGGGCATAGCTCTAACTTTTGACCTACTTGAGGAGCCCTGCCCATGTCTGCGCATCCCTTCAGGAGAGTTGCCAAGAGTCTAGTGCCTCTAGGGCCCAGCTTCCCTGCGGCCCTGGGAGGCGGAGACGGAGGCCCAGAGAGGGCCCAAACCCAGAGCCCCAGCAGGTTGAGGCAGGATCTAATTGGACAGCACCCTCTCCAGTTCTGCCTACCCGGCATGCTGTTGTCCAGCAGAGGTCCTGCCCCCTGGCCCTCCTGCCCAAGCCCTCGCTGACCCAGCTTCCACCTCTGCAGGGCCTGGAAATCCACACCACCAGCAACTGCCTGCACTTCGTGTCTCGAGTGGGGCCCCAGGTGAGAGCCCACCTGCCCCCTTCCCAGCCACGTACTGCCAGGCCTTTGCGCCTGCCAACCCAGCCAGCCCCAGGCCCCAGGAGACCCGACTCTCTGAACCCTGAGTCCTCCACCAGGTCCCCGCCAGCTGCCGACTGCAGATCCTGCCTGGAGATGAAATTGTCCAGGTCAACGATCAGGTGGTGGTGAGTGCAGCGGAGGGTTTCCTGGGGCGCGAAGGTGGGGCATGTGTAGAAAGCAGGGCTGGAGGGCGGGGCTGGAACCAAGGGTTCTGCTGGGAGCCCGGGGTTGAGAGACTGCTTTCTTTCTTTTTTAATATTTTTAATTTAATTTAATTTTATTTTTCAAAATCATTTTATTGGGAGCTTATACAACATTCATCACAATCCATACACACATCAATTGTGTAAAGCGCATTTGTACATTCATTGCCCTCATCATTCTCAAAACATTTCCTCTCCACTAAACCCCTGACATTAGGTCCTCATTTTTCCCCTCCCTCCCCGCTCCCCCCTCCCTCATGAGCCCTTGATAGTTTATAAATTGGTATTTTGTCATATTTTTGCCCTGTCCGACGTCTCCCTCAACCCACTTTTCTGTTGTCCGTCCCCCGGGGAGGAGGTCACATATAGTTCCTTGTAATTGGTTCCCTCTTTCCTACCCACTCTCCCTCTACCCTCCTTGTTTTGCCACTCACACCACTGGTCCTATAGGGCTCATCCGCCCTGGATTCCCTGGATTTTCAGTTCCTATCTGTACCAGTGTACATCCTCTGGTCTAGCCAGACTTGTAAGGGAGAGACTGCTTTCTATGTGGGAGCCAGCTCCGCCGATAGACCAGAACGGAGTGCCAGGGCCAAGGTGAAGGACACATGGGGCCTCCTAGAGGAGTCGGGTGGGGCAGAGGCAGCAGGTGGGGCTGCTTCAGAGCCTCCTGCCCAGCTGGGTGCCAGCCTGGTGTCTGTGCTGCCCACGCCTCACTGTCCCCAGGTGGGCTGGCCCCATAAGAATGTGGTGAAGGAGCTACTGCGGGAGCCAGCCAGGGCCAGCCTAGTATTGAAGAAGGTCCTGGTGCCTGAGACCCCCCCACAGGTACCTCCCTGACCTCCTACACCCCACCCCACCCCCGCCATCCCCCTACCGTCCCTGCTGCTTTCAGACCCCTGTTGTCAGCCTCATCACCCCATTTCTGATTGTTCCGCAGACCCCCCCTCAGGTCCTGGTCTCCCCGAGCCTGAGAGTCCCATCATCGCCACCCCTGTCCCCAGAGTTTCCCAGGTAAGAGATTCTGCCCTAGAGGTATGTGTGTGGGGTGGGGGTGGGGGGCGGGTTGTCCCGGTGGAAGGGGCCACTGGCCCATCTTGTGCCCCTTTGCTCTCCCCAGGGCCCTGCCAGAGGATTCCTTTGTCCTAGATCTGACCTCCAGCCCAAGTCCTGAGGCCCAACCTGCCTGGGCAGGTAATTTCAAAGCCCCACCCCAGCAAGTAGCAGCATTCCAGGCCAGGCATCTGGGTGACTCTGACCGCTCACCTCAGCCCCTCCCCAGGCCCTAGCGCTGGACTCCGTGCCTTCTTCCTTCCGGTCTCTTTCTCTGACAGACGCTGCTTCCTTTGACCCTGAACCCAGCTCCCCTGCACCCCCATCCACACTCCCAAGTGTGACAACAGAGACTACGGAGCCCCCAGGACATCCTAAAAAGGTAAACTCGGGGCTGGGCATAGAACGCCGGGGGCTCTAGACTGAGAATCTTCTCTAATCCCTTCAATACCCTTCCAGAGCCCTGTCCCCGCTCGGAAGAAATCTAAAGGTATGACATATTCCCGGTGGGGTGGGGGACACCACACAGAGGGGCTCCCCTCACACGTCACGCCAGCTTGACCCTGAAACAGCTCTCTACCCCTGGGGCCAGAGATGCCAGCTCTGTGCCTTTCAGCCAGAGGCTTGCCCTTTCTGGTCTTCAGGTCCCTCCTCTTAAAAATGGGAAGAGCCACCCCACCCCAGAGATGAGCCTAGTGATAGTCCGTCACTTGGAGATGTTCCTGGGGGGCCAGGGAGCAGGCTGAGGGGTGCAGGACCTCTCCAGCCGCTCGCTGACCGGCCCTGCTGGTGTGCAGGCGTGGCAACTCGGCTGAGCCGCCGGCGGGTGTCCTGCCGGGAGCTGGGCCAGCCGGACTGCGATGGCTGGCTGCTGCTTCGCAAGGTGCCCGGCGGCTTCATGGGCCCGCGCTGGCGCCGCGGTTGGTTTGTGCTCAAAGGACACACGCTCTACTGGTACCGCCAGCCCCAGGTGAGACCCTCCGGCAGGTAAGCCAGTAGGTCACCCCAGGCCCTGGCTCCTGTCCCAGCTCCACCCCGTACTCCTCTCTGTGGTCACAGGTGCGCCCAGCGCTCCCATCTGTCAGCAGGATGCACTACAGGTGGAGTTGTGGGGTGTCCCTCTGAGCAGCTTCTTCAGGTTGTGTGAGGCGGCAGCAGAGAGCCTTTTTGATCCCAGCCCCGGGCCTTCCCCCCCTGCGAACTCAGCCCACCCCAGTGGTGGTCTGTGGAGTCTATTTATTCATCAGCATGTGTTTGGTTTCTTGCTGGGTCCCTGGCCCTGGGCACAAGGGAGAACTGGACAATCCCTGCTATTCTAGAACTTAGAGGCTGGGAGGCGTGGGTGTGGACATCCAGTCAAGGACATTGTGTGAGACCCCATGCTATGATGGAGGAGAAGCTTAGGGACATGTGGGAGCCCAGCAGAGGTGCCTGGTCCACCCTGAGGAGTCCAAGAGCCTTTCAGAGAGAGTGGTGCTGGGGGTGGGGTGGGGGCTGTGAGTCAGACAGGAAGAGGGAAAGAAACCTTCCTCCCAGGCAGTGGGAACTCAGCGCATGAGCAGCTCTGTTTGTGTCCATAGAAGGAGCAAATACTGGTGTCTCTCTCTCTCTCTCTCTCTCTCTCTCTCTCTCTCTCTCGGCTGTTTCTCTGGGTGTCTTTGGCTCCCCTTTCTGGGTTCTGAGGCTCCCCTCAGCCTTCCCTGTGCCAGCTTCCTGCTGGAGGAGAGACCAGGGGTAGATGGCCTCTCACCTCCCTGCCTCAAGGGTTGCTAGGGAGTTGACCAGGTCTCCAGGGTGTGGGGGTTCCCAGCTGATCTCCTCACCTGTGCCCCTCCACCCTCAACAGGATGAGAAGGCCGAGGGTCTCATCAATGTCTCCAACTACAGCCTGGAAAGCGGGCAGGATCAGAAGAAGAAATAGTAAGCCCGGGTGGCTAGGGCTGCTGGGGGTGGGTGGGTGCCCCAGCACAGACTCCCTGGATGCTGGGTGAGCAGCCCAGGCTGAGTGTGGCCCCGCTGCCCCCTGCAGTGTGTTCCAGCTCACCCACAACGTGTACAAGCCCTTCATCTTCGCTGCGGAGACCCTGGAGGATCTGAGCATGTGCGTGCCTCTGTCACCCCAGCTCCCAGCCTTTGCGAGTCTGGCCTTGTGGGTCCCTCTGACAGTGGCTGGTCAAGGCACTCACCTTTCTGAGCCCCACTGTCCTCACCCAGGAAGCAGACGAGTGATGGGCCCCCTGCCCAGAGCTGCTCCGAGGATGGAATGAGCAATGGGTGTGGGTGTGCACTCTGCCATCCAGCCTGGCGGTCAGCATTAGGTGCCAGCCAGTACTCTCCAGCCCATAGCAACCTCGTGGAGACCTGCCCTCCGGGGCGGCCCCAGTTGTGGTCATCACGGGTGGGGGTGGGGGTGGGACAGGCCACCAGGTCTGTCTCCCTGGCAGTGCCTGGTGGGGTTCGAGCAGCCAACCTTTCCAAGGGCAGCTGAGTATGTCCCTGTTGTGCCCTTGGGGCTCCCTCAGCAGACACCCAGGCAGGCCCTCAACTCGCGTCAGACTCAGGTGACCTGGAGGAGAGGAGGACTGTGCCTTAGGGTTTCTGAGATGGTGCAACTCGATGGGAACAGACAGCCTCCTCTTTCTCTGAGGAGCAGCTGCTGAGTTTGAACTACCGACCCTGTGGTTAGCCACCCCGCGCCTAACACATTGCGCCACCAAGGCTCCTCGGAGACTGGAGACTGATGGCTGCCATGTCTTTCGGTCTCTCCCGGAGGCCCGCTGGTCCCCCCACAGGTGGGTGCGCCATCTCATCACCTGCATCTCCAAGTACCAGTCTCCAGGCCGGGCCTCCCTCTCCCGAGAGGAAGGTGGGTATCTCACGGGGGGCTGGAGAGAGGGCACCCTGGTCTCACCCGAACTTCCGCCTTCCCTGGGAACTCAGATGTCCTGACCCATCGCTTGGCCTCCCTCCCCAAGCCCCGGGCTTAATGGGTTCCCCAACTGCTCCTCCCACCACAGACTGCTACAGCGAGACGGAAGCCGAAGAGCCGGACGACGAGGCTGGATCACGCTCGTCCTCGGTGAGTAGAAGGTGCTGGGGAAGGGCAGGGCCTGGGGCTCACTCTGACCCCTCCTGTTGCCCCACCCTGCCTGCAGCCCTGCCCAGCCCACGGCTGGAGTCCCCTCCATGGAGACATGTCACCTGCAACCACCCCCACGTTGGGCAGCCCGAGAACTTCCTTCGGTCCCCCTTCAGGTGCTGCACTGGGGCTGGGGGCTGGGGGCTGGGCCTGGGGGCCGGAGTGGGCACCCTCTCATCCCACACCCTCCCTCCACAGAGACTGACGACGGGGTGCTGGAGAGAATGGTCCAGGGGCTGAGGCAGGGTGGCGTGTCCCTTCTGGGCCAGCCGAAGCCCCTCACCCATGAACAGTGGCGAAGCTCCTTCATGAGGCGACACCAAGAGCCCCAGCTCAACGAGCAGGCGCACCGCGTGCGGGTGCTGCGCAGCACCCTCCAGGTCAGCTGGCAGCCAGGGCAGCGGCAGGGCTCTGAGATGAGCAGGGCCGTGTTGCTGGCTTTGCCTGATGGCTCCCAGCTCCACCCCGGGCTCCAGGGTCCAGATGCTCCCAGCTGTGGCTGGGCCATGCCCTAGGCTCTGAGCCCGGATGTGACCTGTCAACCCAGTTCCCTGCCTGATCCAACGATCTGGCCCAGACGGAGTCCGGTCTTGGGTTCTGGATGCTGGACTCCAGGCTCAGTTCTGGGCTTGGGCACCTCCTCCTTGAGTGGCATGGCCCCTTTAGCCCCTGTCCCCTCCACTCTCAGGCCAAGCTGCAAGAGCTTCAGGTCCTGGAGGAAGTGCTGGACGACCCCCATCTGACTGCGGAGAAGTTCCGGCGGTGGAAGGAACAGAACCAGGAGCTGTACTCGGAGAGCTTGGGGTGCTGCGGGGGGCTGCTGGCTGAGGGTGGCACTCAGGCCCTGAGCTCCAGCCCCAGAGGGCCACCCTCCCACTCCCTGCCTTCTGACCCCGAGGAGCACTCTCAACTCCTGCCCTCTGCCCCCAAAGAGCCATCTCCGACCTCCTAACCTCAGACCTCGAGGGCCACTTCAAACCCTAGCCGCCCACAGGTGGCTCTCCCTTTGTCCAGCCTGGGCTGTGAGGGGGTCGGACGGAGCACTCGTCCATGGCTTCACACTGCCAGCCCCCGGGCCCCAGGAGGCTCGGTGCCACTCCTCCACCCTTGCTGAAGCAGCAGGATGCCTGAGCCGAGAGAGTCCCTGCCTCTGTCCAGCCCGTGGGGGCATGACCCTGCCCTCCTCAGTCTCCTGCCCCGACCCCCACGTGCCAAAATCCATTTACACATTTCAATAGAATAAAGTCCGTTTCTCTAAAATGAGTCTCTGTGTGCCTTTGACTTCCACACGGCAATAATCAAGCAAGCGGATGATCGATCCCCTGAGGGGACTGGGATGAAAACTTGTCAGACTTGGGTGAAGGCTTTTGGCCACAGGGCAGGTAACTGGCCCGTGGCGGGGCCCACTAGCCTGGGCTCTGTTCCTGGAGCTCCGGGCCTGCCTGCAGGATGGGCTGGGGCCCATGACTCGTGAGGCTGCCACCCAAGTTCAGTTGTCCCCAGCCCTGGGGGGCCAGAGGGCAGTCTAAGCCTAGCCCCAGTGGGAAAGAGTGATTGGGAAACGGAGGCTCGAGTGGGGAAGGGTGCCCCCACACCCAGGAAAGCACAGTGGGTTGTTGGGCTGTGGTCACGGGGAGGCAGGGGTTCAGGTTGTGAGGCAGAGGGCCAGGTTAGCCTGGCTTCAGAGGATGGGGTGGGGGGGGGACAGTGGGAGGAGAGCTTCTCTGGGGGTCGGAACTCCGGGGTAGAATGTGGAGGTCATAGTGCCTCTGTGATATCAGTGAGATCTCCACCAGGGGGAGCGAGGCCATTTGTAATGAAGTTTCCTTGAAGAGTAACAGGACACTGAGCAACTATGAGCAGTATCCAGAAGGTCTGGTGGCAGCAATGGCCAGTGACCACCGATGCCAACCTTGTGTCTCCCATAGTAGATGGTGCTGGCCCAGCTCTACCACCGGAGCTGGGCACGCCGGGCACCCTGGGCGGGGGTGGAGTACTGGAGGGGTTTGGGCTACACTAATGCGACCTCTCCTTATCCCTGCAGAGGATCCCAGAACCCTACTCCTGGATGGAGGAGCAAGTGCTCATCAATCGCGGGGACATCACCAGTAACAAGGTGAGTGCAGGACAGGGCAGGGCTTGCAGTGATCGCTTCCCCTACAAAGATCCTCCTGCAGCAGTAACCCTGGGAGGGTGGTCCTGTCCCTCCCACCAGAAGCCCCACCTTAGCATGGATCCCTGCAGTGACCTCTCCCTCCCTGTGCTATAGCAGTAACCCCCTGGCAGTGGCCTCACCACATCCCCTGATAGGACCCCCAGAGACTCTACTCCCAGTAGAGACCCCAAGAGAAACTAATGACCCACTTTTAGGAATCCCTTAGGTAGTGATCGCTACACTGATGCCCCTATTCTATGATCCCTCCCCTCAGGCAACGGCCCCCTCCCCCAGAGTGGCTTCCCTAGGGACCCCCCCCCCCCACTTCCCTAAGAGCAACATCCAGGCAGAGGCCTGACACGTGCCTGAAGAGAGGCCCTCTGCCCTCTCCCAGGACGCTTGGGACATGCAGGAGTTCATCAAGCGCACCTACATCAAGCAGCTGCTCCGACACCCAGTCTTCCAGTTTCTGCTGGCCATGCTGCTGGTGACCAATGCCATCACCATCGCTCTCCGGACCAACCCTGTCCTGAACCAGGTAGCACTCCAACCTGACCTCTGCCCCCTCTGATTCCACTGGAAGGCCTGAGCCAAGGCACTTACTCCTCCGAGTGTCAGGCTCCGTCCAGGTCTGTGATGTTGGCTGGGTGCTCCTCAAGGACTGCCTCTCCGACTGATCGTCTAGGGGTCTAGGAAGACTTCCTTTAGAGTCTGGCTTGGAGACATGCATTGGATTTGTAGAGGAAGGGCAGGAGAGGGATCCTGTAAGCAGAGGCAGGTAAATGGGCACCTGATGAGGATTGGTGTCCAATGTTCATTAGCCTACACCCACCAAGCATCGCTCTGTGCCAGGCACGGCGTGGAACGCCAGCACTGGAGGATGGGCACAGAGTCCCTGTTTCAGGCGATGTAGACGGGTCATCACAAATGCCTGAGTGTCACCCTGAGCATGTGCAACCTTACAGAAGGCAACCAACCTCCTCTGGGAAGTCACAGGAGGCTTGGTGGAAAAGTGACACTTCTGCTGAGAGAAAATGACAAATAGGCGTTGGCCAGGCAGAGAGAGTGGGGAAGAGTGTGTGAAGCACAGGAGACAGCATATGAGACAGTCCTTCACGCCCAACCTAAAGTGCGCTGTAACTTTGATCTAATCCTTGATACCGTACTTCATTTCTTACAAGAAGTATCTATCCGAGTGTGCACAAAAACTGTGTGTGTGTGTGTGTGTGGTGGGGAAGGGTGGCATCTGATCTTCTCTTACTTCATACGGGGAAGGAGAATCAAATTCAAAATCAGCCTAAGGCTAATTCTTGTGGGGGCAGACACGCTTTTTCTCTTTTCATCTATGCCAATCCTGACACCACCCTTACCTCCCACGTACTCTCTGCTTCTTGGCTGGGTGGGTAATTTGCTGCAAAGGCCACACAGAACTCAGACCAGACTCAAGATTATAGAGCTTATTAGGGAAATTAACAAGTTACAAGTCAAGATCAGAAATGCTCAGGCTACAGTTCTTTGGCCAGGACAACCTCTTCTCAGCTATGCCTGCAAGTAGGCCTCTCTCTGGTCCTTGGCCTCTGCCAAGGTCATGTTACAAAGTTTTCGCACTGCTGACAAATGCCCAAAGGGCACAATGCTTCCCCACAAGCCCCAGCCCAAAGTTCCACAGCCCTAGTTCCCTTAAGAAGTGCCTGGAGATACCCCATTCTACTTGCCAATCTCCGGCCTAAGGTTTTCAGTTTCATTCACTCTGTGGGCAGGGAAGCTCCCCGCACCCCCTGCCACCACCACCACCATGCTCTGGCTCTTCGTTCGGTTGCTGCTGCTCCTCTGCCATTTGTCTGGTGGCACAGCGCTCTGTCTCTGCATCGATGAGGTTCAATGTGCAAAAATATCAGGGTCAAAAAACTCTGTTCTGGCTCCTCTTTTTTTGATGGTAGTGAGATCCCCCTTCCTGCTTCTGAAATGGCTCGGTTTATATCCAGGAGGATTACAAAACTGACTAACCCCAAGGTAGAGTTCCAAGGTGTCACCCTCCCAATGAACCCTTTCAACAATCACAAGTAAATTATAGAGCCTTATCAGGATCTCCCCCACCTTCTCTTACCCAAACCCATCAGGAAAAAAAAAGGTGTTTAGTGGGAGTTACAAAGACTAGGGCAAGGAGAGCCATAGCAAGCAATTTAATAAGCCAGAGAAGGGAAGTCAAAAAGTATTGCTAGAAAACCAATCAGAAACCCTATTAAACAAAAATATTGAAATATTTCTCAACACATCCTCCATCCACTTTAGGCACTTCCAAAGGCAGTGCCTACGAAGCATCCTGGCCTCCTCTTTTTAGACGATGTCAGAATGACAGGCGGGCGCCTTTCAGGGACTCCGGTCGTGTTCCTTTTCAACGCTCTTTGGTTCCTTCCGGGCTGAGGAAAGAAGCCTGCAGGGGCAAGACCAGGCCTGTAGGGCGGATGGAGTAGGGTTCCCAGTGAGGTTCCGGTAGGACAGTCCTTGCTACCTTCCAAGTATGCGGACGTATTGTTGTCACGAAAAGAAAAAAGAAAAAAATATTCCCAGGGCAAGCTTCCTAGCTTTTTTCTCACCGATGCAGATGTCATCAAAAAGAGAGAGCAACAACAAAAACGTCTTCCTAGTAAGTTTCCGTGATTGTCTTGTCCTTTGAGAAAAACCCATCGAGCTGGCTCTGTTGGACTCCCCCGAAGCAGGCACCATGACCTCTGCAGCTGGACTCTGCCTTTTACGGGCCCAGCAGATGCCCTGGAAAGCCAGTGTTCTTAGTGGCCCGCACTCTCGGGACTCTATTGGCAAAGTCAAGGCCTTTCCCATATACTCATCCTCACTAGCTGTGTCCTTGTTTCACAAAGGAAGAAAAGATCAGCTCCTTGAGCTAGCCATCGTCACAATGCTTTTGGCACCTATCAGGCTGAAAGCTTGCCGAAGCCAAGATGTTCTTGCGTTATTACAAATACCAGACGGGGTGTGATCCCAATTTTAGTAGCTGTTGCATCAAAGGTCATCCTGTGGCCTTTTCTGGACTCCAACCACAGTGTCTTGATTTGCTAACATAGAAGGTCTCCCCTCTCTTAGTTTGCCTTTGAAAGCTTCTGCCTTCCTGAAAATGCTTGATTCATCTGAAAACTTGTTATGTGGGGCAGCATTCCCATGAACTTGTTGCAAAGACAGAGAGGGAAGAATGGGGCTTGGTGCCGTCCGTTCTCGGGGCCTTGTGATTTTCTTTTCTACCTTCCCCTTCCAAATATCACTGCTCTGGGGGTTAAGGGGTTCTTGGGTGATAGAAACAGTTAATGCACTCAGAGGCTAAGCAAACGTGTGATGGTTTAAGTCGACCCAGAGGCACCTGGAAGAAAGGCCTGGTCATCCACGTCTGAAACGTCACTCACTGAGAACTCTTTGGAAAGAGCTCTACACTGACACCGAGGGGTCACCAAGAAGGTATCAACTCATAGCCGCTGCTGGTACTGGTGGTTAGAGCTTAGGAGCAAGGTTGCGAGTCAAACAATAATCTTCATTGACTAACTGTGTAGCCTTAGGAATCCTTCTGATTCTTCATCTATAAGACGGTGATAAAAATCTCTGTCGTCCCAAAGCCCATCTGTAGGTAATTGGACATCCCCTTACAGAAGGGTCGCGGGGAGGAGATGAGCCAGTTAGGGTGCAGGGTAGCAAAAATGAAACATACAACTTTTCCTCCAGTTCCTAAATGCTCCCCCCCACCACTATCATGATCCCAATTCTACCTTAGAAATCTGACTAGACCAGAGGATGTACACTGGTACAAATAGGAACTGGAAACACAGGGGATCCAGGACAGATGGTCCTTTAAGGACCAGTGCTGAGAGTGAAGATACTGGGAGGGTGGAGGGAAGGTGGGGTGGAAAGGGAGAACCGATTACAAGGATCTACATGTGACCTTCTCCCTGGGGGACGGACAACAGAAAAGTGGGTGAAGGGAGACGTTGGACAGTGCAAGATACGACAAAATAATAATTTATAAATTGTCAAGGGTTCATGAGGGAGATGGGTTCATGAGGGAGGGGAAAAAATGAGGACCTGATGCCAGGGG